AAGCAGAGAAGAGGGGAGCTGAGTTGTTTGACTCATGGATCCTTTTCAGTAGAATTAAAAATTTGCTGTTGGTTATTATTATAAAAACAACTTCAACTTCATAATCAGGTGTATGCTTTTTCTACCTTCAGCCCCACCTCTCAGGAAGACTATCTGCAAATAAAACGAACAAAATTTATATTTTGGCTGATTCATGCAGAGAGATTTTTCTCTGGATAAGTACTCTCTCTATCAACAAGTGGAAGCGCAGCTAACTGCCTAAAACACATCTCAGTTTTGAATACAAAAGCAATTCAAAGCAAGAAGCCAACAGTAAAATACCATACCTCATAGGCGGAGATGATCAGCTGGAGAATGTTCCCAGAGTCTTTCTGAAGTAGCCCTACTGTAGCTCCAGGAATGAGTTTTGCATAATTCTGTGAACAAAAAAGAGTAAGCCAATCTTTGCTCACTGTAACTGAGGAATGTCAAGTGTGGGGTTCGGCCCCCTGGCTGAGAGCGCCTTTATGTAACTGTCCGGGCGACAGGTCCCTGATGATAAACCGGCGTTTCTCCTGAGGCCGGAGCCCTGCCTCGTGCTGTGCCCTGCGCTCCAGCGGGAAATGGACTGGCAGGGGCTGCCTCAGTCTAGGGCTGTGATTTATGTCAGACAGGCGTCAGGTCTCAAATAATAACAACACTTATGCAACAACCACCATTCACGGGATGTTCCTTGTCCAAAAAACTCTGAGCATACTCCCAGGAACTATCTTCTCTTTTTCATAACCTTGCGGAAACCAAGATTTGGTAAATGTGGGCCCCTCACCGCCATCAGGTCGCTCCCTTTCTAAGTCACTCAGTCCAGAGGTGTTAATTGTCAATCGCTTGGTGGAGAAAAGGAGTGAATTATTGGCTGTTTGCTGTTAACTCCCCCTTCCTAGTGGCAAGGAGCTCTCTTTTGGAGATGTTAATATAGCTCAGTGGTACCGCACATCACCACTGAATGAGTCAGATCCTTGCTCTGAAGGCTGCATTCTCCACCTACATTGCTTCTCCTGAGGTGTGGTTCCCACTCACAGTATTTGTTCAATACTCTAGATACTGAGCATGGCCAGGGAATGAGGCATTGCAAAGAAGGGAATTTTCCAGACAGCTGAAAATTACCCCTCCCTTAAGTTTTATGTTTGAAAATATTTTCAAACAGAAAGTTTTCTAAAGTGTACTGTACACACCCTTGCCTTCTTAAATAAAGACTCCAAAGCATGCTTTGATTTTTTCTTGAAGAAATAAGAGTCATACTTATCAATATTACCTATAGCTCTATAATCATCAAAGGCTTCCAAAGTCCATGGTAGGTCACGCCCATACCAGGCGGGTTCCAACTACTATGCTTTTGCTTCTTTTATTTGTTTTAAAATAGTTTCTATCTTCTTGTTAAACTGTAAGGTATCACCTGCCTACCAATTTACTCATTTACGGTGGCATCAACAACACCTATTAGGTTGGCTTATTTTATGCTGTACGACATTAGGAAGAGACAATCACTCTTTTTGTCAGCTGCAGTCTTCTAAGTTGCTGTGTGTTGTGAAATCATATGGCTGAATTTATTAAAATTGTACATAGAAAAGAGAAATAAGCTTTGAGTGAAGGATTTAGGGCATCTCCTGTAGTTCAAACATAATATCCTATCTTATTCCACAGAAGATTTAAATGGCTTAAGAAATACACAAAACTAATTTAGAATTAATAATTAATGGTATTATAATTGTGAGACTAAGTAACTAAATCAGGACAAGAGGAACCAAGGAAAGGAACAAATGAAGCCAAGGTGATGTTGGAGCACTGACATGTTCTAGGAGGTTCTGTGAACTTGCCAGAGGTGGGCATCTGGGTTAAGTCCAAGTCTTCTACACCTTTTGTAAGAAAAAAATGGGCTTTGGTTTTAATTTGTGGGTTTTGTAACGTCCCTCTTATTTCAGTGTTCATGACTCTGTTTCAGTTTGATGGAAATTTGAACCCTTGAAAGTGTCCGTTGTCACTCTGCCTGGATGCTGTGCTTTATTATTGAAGGGTTGTGGGCAGTAATCCAGGTAACGTTCCTCCCAGTACTCTGTTCCCCACATCACTACCCAGCGAAGGTGGGCCCCACTCTGTTTCCCTGAGTCAGGTAGAAATTGTCAAATATGGGGAAGGCACCAGTTTATCAACTTACCTTTTCAAATAAACACATGTCAAAAGGGCCGTGAAGCATGAGGCCTGTGGTTAACGGCGAATACCTAAATAGGAACTTGAGTTTCACTCAAGTGGAACTGGAATGTGTGTAAATTTGACTACTCCCAGAAGAGGAGGCAGAGCGAATCTTTAGAGCTTGACAAGGAAAGGTTTAGATCCTTTCGAAAAAGAATTTCAAGGCTCTTAGCTTTGCATAAAATAGCTTTCCTTAAAAAAAAAAAAAAAAAGTCCTGGTATCCCCAAGGCTGAGATGTAATAGGTATTTTCCACAAGCACTAATTCAAGTGGCCTCCAAATTTTGGGTTAATTCTTGGTTAACAAAGTCAAAGTCATCTACTTCCTAAAGCATAATTGTGATCCCACATGTGGTATGACATTTGGCATTTGGCTATTAGGACAAATGGTTTAGCATTAATCGTATTTGCTGATTGCCATTGGAGCCAGGGTAGAAAGGAGTTGGCAGCCAGCAGTGGTACCCAGTGGTAACACTGACAATTGTGTAAAGGAAAACTATTAATTAATTCCTGGAAGCTGACTTCCCCCCAAAGCACTGCAAATAACTAACTAGAAATGTGGACAATTTGGCTTCCTGATCTAACACTGTAAAAAATTATACTTTAAATCTTGTAGTGTTATGATTACTGTAAATATCATGTGTCATTAAATCCCTAAAGTGCTATTATAAATTGTCCTGATTAAACATGTTTAATGTTAGAAAAAGGATGCTTTTGCATGCCTGGATGTGATAAATTATAGCGCTGTAACTATAAAAGATGACTGTTGGATATTAAAAATGGTGAACTCTGCAAACACGATGTTACATGAGCTGATGAGAAGTGCAAACTCCTGTGCTTGGGCTTGAATTTCTTGGGCTTGAATTCTCTGTTACCTGCCCATGGATTACCCTAATTATGGATTTTCTCCCCTCCTCCCCACCATACCACCCAGGAGTTCCTGAGGTTGCTTTTCTCACCCATATTTGCAAGGATTCTTTTTTCTGATTGCCTCAGACTTCTTAATTTCTTTCATCAAGCCCTATTTATTTGTTCACTCTGCCCTCCATCTCAAAAAAGATTTCTTTTTTGTCCAAAAGTCTGCATTTGCTCCCTGGAAGTCTCCTGGGAAGGCTAGAGGGTAAGAAATAGGCAGGAATCAAAGGATACAAAGAAGGGACTGAACTCCCACCTGCACACGCGAGCCCCCTCAGAGGCTGTCTCCCAGTGTGGTGCCTCGCGGGGTCTGGCTGCCGGAACCAGCCGTCAGGGGCGCGCCCGCCTGGCTGAGGGCAGAGGGCCACGCAGACACACCCGCTGCCCCGGCTGGCGGTGGGCAGGCTGCTGCTTGGCTCTCTCTTCAAAAGGACTCAGGCTGAGGACCTTGGCAGCAGGCCGCCTTTGGTGCTATCTTGGTGCTCTCACCCGTAGGAGGGAGAGCTCCTGACGGTGGCCTTCCTTCCTGCTTTGAGGGGACTTCCTTGTGGGTTAACACATCCTGGCGGGATATGTTGTCACGGGCACTAGCACGCAGCCTTGGCTCGCAGGTTCAGAGCCTGGCTGTGTTCAGGAGCTGGTCCCAGGACCAAGTCCTCATGAACTTAGAGGGCCTTATGACAGGATGTAGATGTCCTCACAAGCCTCCTAACATCCCCAAGCACCGTCTGCCTTTGGACACATCCTCAGAAACCCAAGCTCCTAGTGGAAATGTTGTCATGGGAACTCGCAGACAGCCTTGGGGCAGTAGCAGGAATGCCCTGGAAGGGACCACGTTGCTCTTTATCTCCTTATAGCTCGCTGTTCTGCTGCAAGGAGCCCACGCTGCAGACAGGGCAAAAGGAGCCCAGAACTCTCCCCTTACCATCATCTGGGAAAGAATAACTAGAGCCAACGCTCCCAATTAGCAGTGTCATCTCTTTCATTCTTCAAAGAAGCTCTGTTACTTGAGTATCATTATTATCCTTGCTTTACTGCCAAGATACTGAGTCCCAGAGAATTTAGTTAACTTGCCCGTGGTCATCCAGCAAGAAAGTAGCAGAGTTAGACCCACCTGTCATGCCCTAGAGCCAGATCTCTGAACCAGGCCACTGATGGGAGATGCCCAATGTGGGCAATGGCTGCCATGGTCTGGTGATGCCATAGGTGAGCCTGAGAGATGTTAATGAGTGAGCCTAAGTTAACTGGATGTATTCATTTCTGAGGGCTGCTGTAACTAAGTACTACAAACTGGGTGGCTTAAAACAACAGAAATTACCGTCTCACAGTTCTAGAGGCCAGAAGTCTGAGATTAAGGTTTCATGGTCCCTCTGAAACTTCCAGGGGACAATCTGCCCTTGCCTCTTGCTAACTTCTGATGGTCACTGGCAACCCTTGGTGCTCCTTGGCTTGACTGGGCATCACTCTAATCTCTGCCTCCATAGTCACGTGGTTTTCTCTCTTCTGTGTCCCTGTTTCTGTGTCTCTTCTCTTTTTCTAAGTACACAGTCATATTGCATTAAGAATCTACCTTGCTCCAGTAGGACCTCAACTAATTACATCTGGAAGGCCTATTTCCAAATAAGGTCTCAGTGTGAGGTACTAGGCGTTAGGACCTTAACATACCCTTTGGGGGACACACAATTCAACCCCTGACATTCTGCTTGAGTCCTTTTGACTTTTTAACTTTCAAACCCTTAGCTTGAGCTGGAGAAGTGAGGACCTTGTCCAGTCACAGAGCTAATAAGTGGTAGAAACGAGACTGGGCTGCAAAGCCAGTGCTCACTCTGCTCTTCCAGGCCCTGCCAGGAACTGGTGCAAACGCCAACAGCCTTCGAGGGTGAGTCTCATTAGAAAGTCTGATAATCATGCCTTGTATTTATATGTAGGGTCTTTGAGATTATAGAACACTTTCAAACTGAAAGGCTACCTCTTGAAAGAATGTAGGAAGTAGCAAAACCATAGAAGTAAAAAAAAAATTCTTTCCTGGGGGATTGTATTGTGCTACTTATCTGGTCTAAGGAAAGTAGCTCTTTGCTGGTGAAGCCTTGCTTTTGTCAAGCAGTGCGCTTCTTCCAGAGCTGCAGGCAGGCTGCGTTCACTGAAATGAGTCCTTCTGAAGGCAATCAGAGGGCTTTCTTCCCGTGAGGTCTTTCATCCCTGTGAGGTTTCATTCGGCTAGTTCTCACGTTCATTATCGGTAAATGCAAGGCTCCCAGTATTATGCAAAAGTTTAC